CCCTGCTCTCTTTACACAGAACACTTCCCTCTCCATTTTCCATTACCACTTTGCCCCTCAGCCATTCAACACAGCATCTGCGAAGCACCCACCTCTCTTGGATTGGCTAAGATTTCGAGTTAGAAGTACCTTTCTAGTGAAGCCTTCTTTCATCCTCTCTAGGCTGTGGTTAGGTGCCCTGACCATTTTATCTCACGATACCCTGCATGTTCCTCTTGTAGTCTGAGTCACACTTAATTGGAGACATTGATTTATTGTCTTTCCAATGTTTCATTCTGCTAAGGGCAAGTACAGTGTCTGTCTTGCACATTATTTGTTTCCTAGAAATGATCATAGCTACTTGCCATGTAAGATCTGCCCAATACATGCTTATTGACTGAATACTATATTTTTATTTATTTATTTATTTTTGAGACAGAGTCTTGCTGTTGCCCAGGTTAGAGTGCACTGGCACAATCTTGGCTCACTGCAACCTCTGCCTCCGGGGTTCAAACGATTATCATGCCTCAGCCTCCCGAGTAGCTGGGATTACAGGAATGCACCACCACATGCCTGGCTAATTTTTGTATTTTTTTTTTTAGTAGAGACGGGACTTCACCATGTTGGCCAGTTTGGTCTCAAACTCCTGTTCTCCTGTGATCCACCTGCCTCAGCCTCTCAAAGTGCTGTGGCATTATAGGCCTGAGCCACCCCCACGGCCTTGACTGAATACTTGAGCAACCAAATCAGAAGACAGGGTTTGGTCCCATGTAAATAAGCAATTAGTTTTTGACCTTAGACAATTCACTTAATGTCTTTGTGAATCATTTTCTTTTCTTTTCTTTTCTTTTTTGGAAAACAGAAATAAAAACGTCTACTCAGTTCATTTCACAGTATTATAATGAAAACCAACAAAATTAATATGTGAAAATAATTGGGTAGCATATTACTATAAAAATGCTTTATTACCGAGTCTTGTAGCAAGCTGGGAATATTCCTTCCATATTAGGAATACTATTGTGATGTTTTACTGGATAGTAATGTTGGCTCTTGTGTTGAGATAGATCTTTCCCTTAGTAAACTGGAGAAAAGAGGAGAGAGTAGTGTTTCACAGCTTGATTAGTTATAGTTGACTGGGGAAAAAAATGTGGTAGGGAATGCAGCCTTCAAAAACAGAAAGAAAGAAAAATGGTAAGCCACCTGTGCATAATTCATCCCTTCTTCCCTCCCCCGCCACCGTCTCTGCTCTGCACTCTCTCAGCCCTGTAATTTATTCCTCTTTACAGCTTCTAGTTAGCTCTCTAACTCCAAAACACACTGATCCCATTTCCCCTTTCCCTTACATCTGAGGGAGAAGCTAGTACCTTGCGTCCTGAAGACCTCTGACACAAGTCTGGAATGCTCTTTTCTGCTCTATGGCCCTAAGAAGGGGAGGACTCACCTGCAGTGAGCTGCTCCCCTCCCCACCTAAATAGTCATTCCTCTGTGTTGGGCTTGAATGTGGGTCTTGCTAGCACCCACATTGTCACATGTGAGCTGTTTCCAGTCAGGTCTTCCTCCTGTTATCTTATATGTGCACACACCTGTTGGGAACTGAATCTTGAGTTGCATTAATTGTGCATCTAACTGTTGTCTGGGATCAAGCCATTCTGCAAACTTCTTGAGAGAGTCTCTCCCTCAGTTGTCTTTATCTTTTCACAGGTAATTAGGAATGTTGGGGCTGAAAAGAACCTCTGCTGCTGACTGACAGCCCAGAATTGAATTAACACAAGCCTTAAGTCAGACCAAAGTGTGCGAATCAGAGCTGTAAACTGCTTCACACAGTCTGAGCAGGTCCTGACAGCACATTAATATTATTTGCAGCCTGCAAAGAGCACAAAGTGTTATTTTCCTATGCAGCAGCCCTCCCAGATATTGTATGGGACAACATTTATAAGGAGAACAATTCAGTGACTCATGTGGGTGCTAACTTAAAATCTATATATTGTTTCAGCAGAACTGATTTTATGATAGATATTTGAAGCATCATCAATCTAAAATGAAAAATGGTAGCAGAAATGGAAGCAGAGGCTTGATTATTCACACTTTATGTTAGAAAAAAAGAAAACACCTACTAAGTTAGATAAAAGTCATGCAACATAAATACAAGATAAATTTTCCACCAAATACCATTATTATTTTAAAAATTCAGTAAAACAGAAACAAAAAGTCATGTTGGAACTGGAAGCCTGTGTATTTCAAACAATAATTGGTCCCCAAATAGTAAGTGTAATTTTAAAAATCCAGTTTTCACTAATTTTTTATTTCCTGAAAGTAACTTTGATTTGTATATCTTTTTGTCTTTCTTTCTGAATACATAATTATTGTCATTTTCCTTGGTTGAGAATATGCTGCTATCGTGATTCATAAAAACTTAGAAAAAGAAGTATGTTTTTAATGTTGAAATGATGAAAGAGTGATTGTAAAAGATAAGAATCATTCTGAGAAAGTAACAAGACAGTAAAGTGGAGCTCTAATTGCTGTTTGATGTATGAAATTTTATTGGTAACATCTTGCTACCAACAACCTTATTTGGGTTAGAGCTTCTGGCAGATACTTTCGTATTTTCCCAAACAGAAGAATGCCTCCACAGCCAGCTGTTTAACCACAGGGTAGCATCAGTGATTATGTGACCCCTGACTTGTGAGGACTCCTCTTTGCTTCATAAGAAGAACAGAAGAAATTTATCGAAGAAGCAAGTGAGGGCCACAGGAGAATAAGACACTGGATGGCAAGAGACCTGGGTCTGGTCATGGCTTTGTCATGTGATCTAAGTCACTTATCTTGCTGGACTTTCCTTTTCTCATCAGTGAGATAAAACAATGAACAACTCTAATCTTCCTTTCTCACTTCCTGTGCCTCTAAATAGATTAAATAGCCCCCATTGGACATACTATTTCAGATACATGGGGGAAAATACCTTAAGACTTAATGGGAAGAAGCATAGAAATGTACACAAGTGGGAAAAATGGATCATACATTCTTTCATCCAATGCTTCTATAAATATTTATTGAGAGCTTGTTATGTGACTGACACTCTCATCACCCTGGCAAACAGTGGTGGCCAGTGCTGATTCATGTGGCCATACAGGTTGAGCAATTACGTTGCTCGAGAGGATGCTATTCACATTATATTGTAAGATAATGACAATCTTTGGAGTTGAGCAGTATGCAATCTGTGCAGCTCTTCATGGTAGCCTTGACGGTAATCCAAACAGAGCACTATCTTCCTTCATGGAGCTTTTGGTCTACTAAGGTAGAAGACAGTAGATAAACAGTCATTCCAATAAGCAAATGTAACTAGTCTGATGAGTCTTATTGTGGTTGCCCTTATTACCACACAAGAGCTAGGCCTCATGTAGGCTGGTCCACTGCTGCATAATTGCTCGAATGCAACATGCCTGGCCCCAACTGTACTGGGTCTGTGCTTGGGCTCCATAATTAGGGAGCACATTAATTCACACCTATGACTCCAGCCGTAATGCTCAGCTGCAATTCTCCAGAGCACAACCACTGCTAGAGTGAGTATATGGACTCAAAGGGCTGCTGGCCTCAGGCCATATGCTGTTCTGGAATCAGCCTTCCCTCTGGGGGCATTAGGCTATGGGTGGTACACAGATTACCTCCTGACAAATTTGTCTTTCCCTTTCTTTTACTTTTTAATTTATTTATTTTGAGACAGTGCCTTGCTCTATCACCCAGGCTGCAGTAGAGTGGTGCGATCATAATTCACTGCAGCTCGAGTGCTCCTCCAGCCTCAGCCTCTGAGTAGTAGTACTATTAGGTGTGCACCACCATACCCAATTTTTTCCTTTCAATAAGTTTTCTTTTAAGGTTTTTATGTCTTTTCCCCGTAGTGAATGTGGCCAAATACACTCTGCTTCATGTTTCTTGGCTTCAGATCTTGAGAGAAGAAGTTCAGTGTCTTGGTCTCTTCTTTCACAGAAGGCGCTGAGCCCCTTAAGTACCATCGACCTCTTCCCAAGTGACTGGCTATACCACAGAGTGTTGTGTGGGTTTTCCTTTGTTATGCCACACAATTTGCACTATGTAAAGCAGCTAACGATTCAAAATTTACCAAAATAAGTAATTCTTCTCAATCTTCTGCTCCAATGTAATTTGCTCTGCCCACTTGACCAGAGAAGTGCAGTTGGATGCTGGCATACCTTTTTATACATCAAAAATGAGCACTATGAAGGCAAGAGAAAGGTGCTTTGGGAGAGTGTCAAAGGTCTCCTGTTGATACATTGGGGTTAGGGAGGGCATCTCTGAAAAAGGGTCATTTATGATAAGTCTTAAAAGATAAGACTTCACACACCAGGGTCTGTTGGGGGATGGAGAACTAGGGGAGGGATAGCGGGGGTGGGGGATTGGGGAGGGATAACATTAGGAGAAACACCTAATGTAGGTGACAGGGGGTTGGGGGCAGCAAACCACTATGGCATGTGTATACTTATGTAACAACCCTGCAAGATCTGCACATGTACCCTAGAACTTAAAGTAAAAAAAAAAAAAAGACTTCAAGGAAGAAAGAGCAGGATGTGAAGGTATCAGTGTAGGGAATACACTGGAAGCATTGGAGAAATTGAAAGAAGGCAAGATGGATGGATTAGAGTGAATAAAAGGGAGAGTGCCTGCAAGGCCAGGTGGAGAGGTAGGCAGGGCCAGGTAATTCATAACATTGTCGTTTTTGCTTGTGAGTTTAGATTTCTACCACAAGTACAATGGAAAACAACTAAACGCTTTAGGGGAGTGATTTGATCTGCTTTATGTTTTAACAGACCACTCGAGGTTGCCTAATGGATTAGATGGGTGGAGCATCAGAGCCCTCCAGGACTGGGGGCAGATGGAGATGTAGAGACATTAATAAAAAGAAAAACTTTTTTTCTCAAATGTTGCTTTAAAAAAAAGAGTGGGAAGTAGCTTGGCTTAAAATTGGTGGGAGAGGGGAAGTGGCAGTGGGTCTGTACAGATGATACACCATGGAAAACATTGAACTGAATGTGCTGGGAATGGTAAGCAGGTCTGTTTTTGTAGAATTACATTTGAGAATGTCGAAATACAGATTCAGTAAAATAGAGACTGAAGGAAGAGGGAGAAACACCTAAGAATATTGCTTAAGATTAGGAATGAGAATTTGTATTTCATTTTGGGCAAGTTGTATTGATTTTCTGTACTGTCCTATATTTGTAAAACAAGATAGTGGGCATTATAAAATATGAATTCACAAAGGTCATTTAGGAAAACAACTCATCTAATAGTTGATGTCTTTCTAGAATATTCTTAGTGAAATTGTTTCAGCTGTGTTTGTTTCCACTTTACTGAACACCCTCATTAGTAGGAAATTTTGTGGCAGGCTGTTTCTCGCACATACTTTTCTTTATTTTTTGCAATAACTCTATGAAATAGGCATTCTTGTCTCCAAAGTTATAGATAATGAGAAAACTAAAGCTGAGAGGATGAGTGATTCCTCTAGGTAGCAGAGCTATTAAGTGAACAGGCTGGGATTGACAGGCCAAGCTGTTTCCTACATGCCATGATGCCTTAGAATACCCCTTCCGAGAAAGCAGGCGAGCCCGGGCGGCACGGGGCCTTGTGGGAGGGCTTAAGGAAGTAAGGTGGCAGACCTGGCGAACGAAGAAAAGCCTGCCATTGCTCCGCCCGTCTTTGTGTTTCAGAAGGATAAAGGACAAAAGAGGTCAGCTGGCGGCTCCAGTCCTGAAGGCGGAGAAGATTCTGATCAAGAAGATGGAAATTACTGGCCTCCTGTGAAGCGAGAAAGAACGTTCTCTTTAACCCAGTTCCCACCCTCACAGTCAGTATGAAAAATGATATTATGATGCCATGAAGCTCCTGCAAGCCATCTGCAGGCAACTCCGACTCTGAGCCAGAGGAAAGGAGCAGTGGCTTCGGGTTGAAGCCACCAAGGCTGGTCCACGGCCAGGCCCCCAGCCAGGTCTGCCCAGCCATCTGCAGGCAATTCCGACTCCGAGCCAGAGGAGAGGAGCAGTGGCTTCGGGTGAAGCCGCCAAAGCTGATCCACGGCCAGGCCCCCAGCCACCCAGCCAGGTCTGCCCAGCCATCTGCAGGCAATTCCGACTCCGAGCCAGAGGAGAGGAGCAGTGGCTTCGGGTTGAAGCCGCAGACGCTGATCCACGGCCAGGCCCCCAGCGCAGGTCTGCCAAGCCAGGAGCCCAGGGAAAAGCAGCGGAGTGTGCTTCGTACGGCAGTGATCAGGCCCCGCAGCCAAAGGCACTGTCCCAGATGGTCCCCAGCAGTGGCACCAATGGGGTCAGCCTCCCAGCCGACTGCACAGAGGCCGTGCCAGCAGCATCCCCTGACAATCCTGCACGGAAGAGTCCTTCCCAAGCTGCCAACGAGGTGTGTGCACTTGAGGAGAAAGAGCCCCAGAAAAATGAGTCCAGCGATGCCTCTGAAGAGGAAGCCTGTGAGAAAAAAGACCCCACCACACTACAAGCATTTGTACTTGGGCAGAACTTGAGGGACGGAGTTAAGCTGATCAATGAGAGTGCGGACAAAGCCGACATGGAGAGTGCTGGACACCCCACCCAGTGCAGACACGCCAGCCGGACAAACTATTTCCTTCAGCGTATCAGTTCCAGTTTAGAGAACTCAACCAATAGTGCCGATGCCTCCAGCAACAAACTCGTATTTGGCCAGAATTTGAGTGAGCGAGTTTTGAGCTTTCCAAAATTAAATGAGGTCAGTTCAGATGCCAGTAGGGAAAATGCAGCTGCCAACGCGGGGTCCACGTCCTCATCCCAAGAGGCCACCCCCGAGAAGGAGTCCCTGGCCAAGTCGGCAGCCGCCTACACCAAGGCAAAGGAGCGGAAGTGCTTGTTGGAAAAAAGTGGAAGTCATCACGGGGAGGAGGCGGAGAGCAACGTGTTACAGATGTAGTGCAAGCTCTTTGTCTTTGACAAGGCCTCACAGTCCTGGGTGGAGAGAGGCCGGGGGCTGCTCAGACTCAATGACATGGCGTCCACTGACGATGGCACGCTACAGTCCCGACTAGTAATGCGGACCCAGGGGAGCCTGCGACTGATCCTCCTCAACACCAAGCTGTGGGCCCAGATGCAGATCGACAAGGCCAGCGAGAAGAGCATCCGCATCATGGCCATGGACACCGAGGACCAGGGCGGGAAGGTCTTCCTGATCTCGGCCAGCTCCAAGGACACAGGTCAGCTGTATGCAGCCCTGCAGCACCACATCCTGGCCTTAGGCAGCCGCGGGGAGTGGGAGCAGGTGGCCAAGATGCCCGCCCCGGAGCCTGGAGCAGCCCCATCCAACGAGGAGGATGACAGTGACGACGACGATGTCCTGGCTCCTTCAGGGGCAACTGCAGCCGGTGCTAATGACGAAGGGGACGGGCAGACGACTGGGAGCACATAGCGGCCGGGAGCCCAGCTGCACACCAGGCTGCTGCTTTGTCCGTCTATCCGCCTGCCCACCCGCCCCAACCCCACAGGCAGCTTCCAGGTGCCCGGCTGGGAAACACACACCCCACTGGGCTGGCCACAGTCTGGACCCGCGTGTCCTGTTCAAAAGCACAGAAACTGCCTGAATGTGTTTTGGGACATGAGACCTCATCATACTGATGGGCGAAACAAACAAGAACATTTCCTCCCTCTTCTCCTTTCAATTGAAATGGCACATTAAGACTCGTCACAGCCTCTCACTGGGACTGGAGACCTCCTTCCTTCATCCTGCGTATCCAGCCAGAGCCCCTGGCTTTGCCCCGCCCACACCCTTTTCTCCCTGCTGTGGCGCCTAGCCCTTGTGGGGAGCAGCTGGCCCTTGGCCTTCTGCCCCCTCCAGGGGGTCTTTGGCTACAGGCCTGGGACCCCTGCCCAGCCTGGGGAGCTGCCCACAGGAGTGTAGACACTGGGCCTGTTGGACGTGCTGTTAACCACTATCTTCATTGCCCATTTCCCCCTTTCTGTTTGGTGGGGTGTGTATTTTACATCTTTTTTCCTTTTGATTTTCAAAGGCTTTGTTTTGGTTCCTTAGGTTAAGATGCTCTCCAGCGTTGAGCAGGCACAGCTCTGGGTGTCTGTCCCTCACCTGTGGTTCTGGCCTCTGAGGTGGGGGCAGGGACCCCACTTCTTTCCCACCCCAGGTTCCTCCAGGCTGAGTCAGGGGGGTACTGAGGAATTGGGGCCCTGTCTGACCTAGGCCTGGAGAGTGCCTATCTGGGAAAAGGTCACTGGACCTGAAAGGGTTCCCAGGGTTCCCTGCCCACCCCCAATCCCTGTCTGTCACGTGGTTCAGTGTCATCAGGCACCAGGCACAAACTGCTTCCCACTGTTGGCCATCCCTCTCCAGCCACAGGCATCACTGCCCCCAGGACTGTCCAGGGCCAGGGGCCTCTGTGAGAGCCAGAGGAGGACCCTCGCCAGGTCTTGGTGGAGGAGCTTGGGGGCTGGTTCCAGAACAGGTGGTCTCACAAGCATGCAGCACACTGGAGTGGACGCCTGTGCCCACCTGACTGGAGTGTGGCCAAGAGCCAGCTGGCACCACCTACCTGGGGAGGCCGAGGAGGAGTCCTCTGGGCACAGGGCCTCTTCAGGACCTCAGAGGAAATCTCCGAGCCCCACTGTCAGAGGGTTAAGAGAAGGCCACCTTCTGCAGCTGTGCCGCCCACTCCTCTAGGTGGCCAGAGCCCTGGCCCACAGCCCCCAGCAAGCCTGAGCCAGGGAAGAACCAGAGGCCCTCCCGAGAGATGCAGTCACACATCTCTGCTTTAAGCCTTAGCCAGCTAGTGACGAGTACAACCAGATAACGCCCATGTGTTTTGGAACATTTCTGTAAGATTGTCATATGAAATGTATGTGGGAACTACATTAATCTTTTCCTAAAAAATAAAAAAAAGAATACCCCATTCATCTTGAGCTGTTCTTTCTTTTTTTAAAAATACATATTTTATTGCATTTTAGATTTCAGGGTACATGTGAAATACATGCAAGATTGTTACATAGGTGCATACATGGCAATGTGGTTTGCTGCCTTCTTCCCCAGCTGTTTTTTCTATTGGAAAAATATCATTCCCTTGTATTGACTGAGTCAGAATCTGTCCTCCCTTTTGCTTCCACCCTTCAGTGCTAATACAAGCTTTTGGATTAGTTAAAACCATACTAAATTTATTTCTATTTTACTTTTTTAATCACAAAGATTATATTTTTCACTGAAACTTAGTCACTGCATACATACTTTATTGCACGAGTTATAAGTGGATCAACAATGATATTAGCAATGTAAGTTCATGTGCATTTACATGCAACAGCTGCCCTAGATTCCGGTGCATTTTGTGCCAGGCACTTTACTTTGTAAATATGGCAAACATAAAGGGACTTTGCTACTTCAGTTCATGTGAACAAAAAATTATATATATCATCTTATAAAATATCTGTTATGTCAAACCCAGGGGAAAAAAATGACAAAAGGAACACACACACACACACACACACACACACACACACACATATTTATTTATTTATTTATTTTTATGATACTTTAGGTCCTGTGGCACATGTGCAGATCATGCAGGGTGTTGTTGCATAAGTACATACATGGCAATGTGGTTTGCTGCCTCCATCCCCCCGTCACCTATATCTGGCATTTTTTTCTATGTTATCCCTCCCCAACCTCCCTACCCCCTGCTGTCCCTCCCTTAGTCCCCCCAACAGACCCCAGTGTGTGATGCATCCCTCCCTGTGTCCATGTGTTCTCATTGTTCAATACCCACCTATGAGTGAGGATGTGTGCCGTTTGATTTTCTGTTCTTGTGTCAGTTTGCTTAGAATGATGGTTTCCAGATTCATCCATGTCCCTACAAAGGACATGAACTTATTAAAAGAAAATGTAGTGATAAAAATGTTAGATTAGTTTCATGTTCTTAGGGAACTAGCATTCTAAGAAGGAGAGAGGCAATAAACAAATAGACTAGAAGTCAGATTGTGATAAATACCATTAAGAAAATAAAGCAGTGTACCAGAATAACCCAGAAGCATCCTTCTGGCAGCGATGTGGGGCTCAGTTGCAGAAAGGCACTAATGGGAGTAGGGAGATCAGGTAGAAGGCTGTTGAAGTCATCTAGGTAAGAGGTGGTGACAACTGGGATTGGAGTGGAGAAGTGCACATATTCACATGGTGTTTTGGGGACAGAGTTTACCAGGCATTCTGGAATTTATTTGGTTACTGTCCTATGGCTCTGACAAGAAATAGGGCTCTCTCTGGGCCTTTGGTTTTGAGGTGGACAGCTATTTACATAGGGCTTTCCATTTGGCTCCCCAAGATGGAAGTTACTGCTCTAAGCTTACACAACTAGGAAGGAAGAGAAATAGGAGGTAAATTCTATGTAATAGATGTTATTTCCTTTTTTCTGAGACATGAATCAGAACCGTCACACAGAGGCACAGAAGTTAGCAAAGTTTGCTTATAAAGTAATAGAATGTCATAAGAATCATAATTCCCAGAAGATCTAGAGCATGCTGATTTCCAGGCTAGGTCTCATTTTTTGTTGTCATTGTTCTTTTGAAACTGGCTCCGGTTATTATTGTTTGCCTCTTTATCTTTTAAATTGAGAGCAATTCTCAAATTAATATTCCCTACTTTTAAAATCCAGATTTTTTGGCTGCAAATGACTGAAAACTAATGCAAACTAGCTTGAGAAAAAAAATAAAAGGTAGGGGGAGTTGCTTGACGCACAAAAATTGCAGAGATGTGAAAAGTGTAGGTGGCCGTATAAAAGACTGAAGCCAGGACTTTGTGCTGCTAACTTTAGCTTCTTACTACGTATCAGAATCCCCAGTTCAGGCTCTGTTCCTAAGGAACCAACCTAAGCCAGAGCTTTGCAGCTCTTTGGCTAGCCCTTGTGTTATTTTTTCAAAGCTTCAAGTTAATAAGTTTATATTTGCAGTCTATATGTGAGGTTTTAATTTTGCTTTTATAATAATACAATATTTTACTGAATACATCATCTTGAAGCACTGTTTAGACATCATAGATTTTTTTCTATTTTTTTGTTTTATAAATACAAGAAACAGTTATAGATGAAAAAAGTCTCATTTTCAAAGACTAGGATGAGTTTTCTAAGCTATGAGGAAAGATTTGGGCACTGAGAATTGTCCAGAAGTAAGTTAAGAGTATAATAAGAGGTGGCATTATAAGACTTAGAATCTTACAAATACTCCATTAACACCACAGTGAGATGACTAGAGAAAAAAGAAGTTCCTTCTTGATTTTTTTATAAAGGCTGAGTTGTAGTCTGGCTTTTATGTTGATCTGGCAACCAGCTTTTTCTTATAAATCAGTAGCTGTGCTAATAGCCAACATGCTGGGTGGCAGACTTTTGATTTTATTTAATGGTAGTAATTTTCCCCAAGAATAGACTGAGGATTTGCCTGGATCCAAAAGTGAATTTCTTAATATTAGCTTTTGCTCTATAAAAGACATTAGGGAACATTTTGAAATTCTTCTCTCTAGCATCTATTTCTAATTAAATTTCATTACAGATCAATATCAGGAAGCATAGAATATCTTCTGACTTCAGAATCACCCTCCTCCTTAGAGGAGGTTCTCGGTTGCAAACAAATGACTGTGATTCCAAGTACAACGGGCATATGCAGAAGGATTTCAGGAGCTCAGAGTCCATAGAAAGCTGGCAGGGCAGGTCTGGAAAACAGGCAGGATCAGCATGTTCTTGACGATGAGCTTCAGGCTGCACAGCCAAAGTACTGCCACAAAAACGTTTGCTGCTGTGATGAATCCAGTGTCTCAAACCCCTTCTCCTTTGCGTTATGCTTGTAAAATTCAAACTTCTATTGCCAGCCTGACTGCTTGGGTTATTTACTCCCAAGCTATAACAAAGGATGAAATCAAGCACCTCTAGAACTTGGTTTATGAAATATGTGCTGGGATTTCTCTCCCACCCAGAAGACAGAGAAAAAGTTATCCAAAATTTGGATATTAATAATAAAAAGTGCGGGTCCATTTTTTACCATTTATCTAATTTATTATTAGAAACATTAATATATTTTTGAAGCCATGTACGTGTGTGTGTGTGTGTGTATTCCTGTTGTGTGTCTGCTACAAAAATTGGGGTAACAGTGAGACTGATAGAGTGAAAACTGAAGAGAGTCACAAAATATAAAAGGGCTTCCATTTACTGAATACCTATTATGTGCAGGTACATACTTGAGAATTATCCTTTCCATACATTATCTAATTTAATTTTCACAACAATTTATGAGTTTGTTGTTTTTCATTCCCATGTTTCAGTTGCAAATAATAAGACATAAAAAATGTGATAACTTTCCTTAATTATATTCCTAGTAATTGATAGATCTTAGGCTTTTTTACACTGTAATGTTATGTGTCATATTGTTTCTCTCTTTCTAATTAGTTTACAAAAATATTTTAAAATCATT